AAAGCATTCCTCTTTAAAATATTTTTTAATAAAAACCCTTTCTATGGAAAACATGTCAATCACAAAAAGTTAAGGTTATACAAACGATTCTTTATATTTTACCACCCTCAAAAGCATTTTTATATACTGCTTGCTTACTTCCTTCTCACACTGCTCATGTGAGGTAGTTACTATTATAAACTATTTTACAGAGGATAAAAGGAGGCTCAAAAGCTGGTTTGCTTGAGGGTATCCTGCTTGTCTGTGACAGAGGTGGTTTAATCCTAGGGGTCCTGGCTTCCAACCCAGGTCAGTGACGTAACTGCAGTGCCCTTCAAATCTGAGCTACTGCTCTGTGAGGCAGTAACTGCCATTGTCAATGTATGCCTGCCATGGCCAGCCGTTCCAACAGGGCAAATGCGGGGGGAGACCAGAGGGTGTGTTGCTTCATCTGTAACAGAGCCAGCACAGTGAGGTGTCAGCCGTGGGTGTGTGCTCAGTGGAATATTAGTGTGCTGTGAGAAGCAAAGGACTGTCACAGGAAGGGACAGTGTCAGGACCAAACAGTATGCCATGGCTACATGATGCTGCCCTTAGAAGTGGGAGATTACTGGAAAAAAGGGCTCTGGAGTTACATGCATGGACTTCCCTTACAGGCAGAATGAATCTGCAGCGACAGAGAGAAAACAGAGTCCTCTGGGGGAGGGGGTAGAGGAATGAAAGTCTTCACAGGTCTGCCTTCCTCTGTGAGGGAGTTTCAAGGCTATGCACACATGCAAAACATACTCAGCTGCATACCAGATTCTTTCATTTTACTGGATAATGTAAATTAAAATAATAATAATAGTAGTAGTAGTAGTAGTAGTTCACAAGAGCAAGTCATTGCTAAACACAAGCCAGGTCTCTCTAAGTGTGCTAGGTTCAAGTCAGCATCAGCCAGCCCTCAGCAGCTTGAGCGCTCAGGAAGAAAGACGAAGTCTGTGGAGAATCTGAACCATTCTCATTTTCCCTGACAAGGAACAGATGGCCCAGGGGCTGTGACGGGGGAGAGAGAGGTGTGCTGCAAGGGGACAGCCAGCAGTCTCCCTGCCCTGGGCCCAGGTGGGGGCTGTGCTGACTTCTGGAAGGATCCTGGGGACAGGGATAGGGAGGTGCTGTCAGCAGAGCCCTGGGGAAGGTGGAAGCCAAGGCGTGTGAAGGTGTGTGCGTGTGAGTGTGTGAGTGTGTGTGTGTGTGTGTGTGTGTGTGTATGAGGGGGGAGGGAGGAGAGAGAAAGAGAGAGGGAGAGAGAGGGAGAGAGCTAGAGGCCCTAGCTGTGGCATTGGCGCGGGTGAGGACCCCCCAGCTGGCCTCTCTGGGTTTAACTGCACCGGCACGGATACCTCAATTGCAGCAAATCCCAGCGCAGGTTCCTATCCCTCTCTGCAGCCTCCCAGAAGCCCTCTCAACGCTGCTGCTGCTGCTAGCTCTACCCTAACCAAGACGGTAACCACACGGCCACCCGCCCGGGGTGGCCTTTGGCCACTCTTTCCTTTTCCTGCAAGGTAACTCCTTTATTCTCCGCAGCCTTGTCCTGAGGAGGACAAAACAGCAGCAGTAGCAACACTGAGCAGTCCCTGGGAGCTGGGGCTGGGCCGAACCACAACAGCACCCAGCAGCTGAGATGCAGCTCCACTTAGAGATGGCAACAGCCCACGCAAGAGGAAGACTGCTTGCCCAGGGCCCCAGCTCGGCGCCAGGCGTCGCTGGCCTTCACCGCCCGACCCTGATGCCACTGTGCTCCTGGACACGCCAGCCCACTGTCCTTAAGTGCTCTCAGGGTTCCGCAATCCCCCCCCCCCCCCCGCCATCCTTTCTTCCTCGCTGGCCAGTCTCAAATTCCTGGGCGGAAGAGCCCTTCCCTCCCGAGCCCCAGGAGTAGCTGAGGCTACACAGGCACAAGCCTTTGCTTTGGCCTGGGCGTCTTCACAGCTGTTAGCCAAGTTCCGTTCATAAACAAGGTGTATTTAGGCGAGTCCAGATGGACGGAATTTGGTGCCGCGCTTATAACTAAACAGGAACTGGCTGTGATTGTGAGATGTCCACGTAATTATGAGGAGTCCAGAACGAGTCCAGCTGCTTCTAGAATTTGGTCAGTGGGGGATTACTTTCATAGGTGCTGGGCCTGGTCTTGAGCCTCTCTGACAGCATGCTTCTGTTCACAGCCCAGCACAGGCAGGGGGCGAGCGTGAGCTTGTAGGAGGCAATGTCACATGAAAGACTCTGAGGTGTTTGTGCCCTGTGCTGTCATACCTTGCTGCCTGGTGTGTCTGTGTGTGGTGACAGACATTTCAGAGCACCCTGAGATGGGAAACTCACAACTGTTTTGCAAACAATTGTCATTCACAGTCCTAAAATAGCTCCATTTGGCACATGCTTCAGAACTGCCTCCATTTCCATAGTCAACATGCAGCATGGCTGTGGCCTGGGGGCGACGTAAAACCCGGCTTGCAAATATTATTAGGCACATGGACCAGCTGTCTGGAGGAGCTGATTAATCCCCGGCAGCAACACTGGCATGCAGCACACATGCCATCTGCACAGCACACTGGCAAATACACACTGGACCTCTCTATCTAGTGGAAAGGCCAGGGCGGGGCAGACCCAACGGAGGAATTGTAGGAACAGCTGGGCTACCCAAGGCTGGAAAACGAAACCTCTCTCTAGTCCCAACACATGGGTTCCAGAGGTTGTCCCTTAAGGCCTTTCCCATTAAATAAAGGGGAAATAGGACTTATGACTGAGTGTCTCCCTTTTTATGCTGCTTTCTGATTCACTGTCTTGGTGAGAGAGTGGGCATACATAGCTCAAGAGCATGCCTGCTCTATTTTTAAATCCACGTCTTCCTTCCACTTGCAAGCCTTGTGACTTCATATGAATGATTCTGCTAACATCCTGTGTCCACTTCCCGCCCCTTCCAAGCCAGGCAGTTCCACAAATGCCCTGGCCTTCCCTTGTTCTCTGCTTCAAGACAGCATGGACTGCCCACACAGCCTTCCATATTCCCGTTCATCTGATTCTTACTCATTGCTTCCCAGTGTTTAGTTTAATAAAGGGAAGAAAGAAGAAATGATGTTCTAAAGAGGGAGGAAGGAGTCTTCTGTTGGGAAATAAAGTCAAGGAAATGCTGAACAAAGGATTAAGACTAGTCCCAAGGCAGGAGTTCAGACTGGCCGAGACTTGATGGGGCGGGGGAAGGGCGTTGGGGGTGCAGGGGTGGCGGAAAGGTGGCCCTGATGGGAGGCAGGAAGAAGGCTGCATGGGCGTCTGAGAGGGCCCGGACGGGTTCCGGTGCAAAGGCGCACACGAAAGGTGCCAGCGCCCCAATGGATGGCGCATCTCCTGCATACCCAGGCCCTGGCAACAGTACCTGTGTTAGCTCTGCTGCGTCCCGGGCCTGCCACTGCCACCTTCTCACTTATGGGTGGATCAAGGGTGATAACCACAGACCACAGAGTCCAAAGTCTGGTTAAAAGGGAGACAACAGTCTTGCCGTGCCCTCTCACACACAGGAGGCGGCTTCTGCTTCTACTGGGGCCATTTCCCAAGTCAAATACTCAGGGAGCCGTTTCTATGGCAAACATCCAGGCTATCACCTTCACCTGCTCACCCCTGGGCCAGGGCTCTGCTCACACCACTCAGACCCTCTTGGCCAGAATCATGTTTGCAACCCTCTCACCTAGAGGTAGGTATAACCTGCTTTTGTGTCCCCCAACACCGGGTGTATACACGCACATGCCCACACCCCACACGATCCCACAAGGAGGCTTGTTGCGTGGGCATCAGACTCTAGGACAAGAAATGACACATGTTGGAGGAATTCAAATAGATGAGCTGTTTGCCCAACATGTGACAGAGCATTTGGATAGTATCTGTAAGCGGGCAGGAGCTCGGTTTGACATTTTCCCTTATTACTCATCACATTTCTGTTCTGAGTCAAAGAAACGAAGGAAAGAATTGGCATTAAAAACAACAACAACAACAAAAGACAAAACAAGAAAGGGAACTAGGAAAGAAGGTTCTAGAAACGAGGGGAACGGCTATTATTACCCATTCTGAAACTGTAGAAAGCAGCATCCTGTGATACAGTCCAGCTCCTGCTCAGCCTGGCTCAGGTGACCAGGCTTTGGTTACTATCCCCAATAAACTCACCCTCTGCTGAGCCCCCAGGCATTAAAAGACACAGAAGCTGCCACAGTCGCTAGTCCATCCGTTAGTCCCACACCCGGACATGTGAACAACCAGCAAGGCAGAACCACCCTTGGAAATTCCTTCCTGGCTTCTGGCTCGGTATGTGCTTCACACAAGGACTGTCTGAAGTTTTTAGGGGTTGGGTGGGAGCACACAAAGAAAACAGGGCTTTTCCGGGAACTGCCTGCCACCAGCCAGGTCCTCCTGACCATCTCTTTCCTGTCACTGCTTTGCTCTGACTCCAGGCCGTCATCCAGGCCTTGGTCCCAGGCTGGCCTGGTGGGGTCCTGGAAGGTGGCTCCAGAGTCAGGCCAGGATTAGCCTCCGTTAGCCTCTGTGGACTCTCCACTAGGAGGCGCCCTCACGTTGGTGCTACCCACCCCCAGCTGCCTTCCAAACCTTGGCTGCCCTGATATTACAGCCCTGAGGCATCGTCCCAGGCTCTCGCTCAGGTTTCTGAAGCCCTGCTGTGCCTTCGTACAAGGCTGGTATTAAAGGCTCACCTTGGGGTATCACCCACTTTCTGCTGGGGCATGGCTGACGCCCCCCCCCCCCCCCGAGCCTTCTTTCTCCAAAGCAGGGCACTGTGGACCTGGATACTTCCAGAAAGGCAGGCAGACCATGGGAGTAGCTGCCTGCTCACCAAACCAGAGCTGTACCCGCCTCCTGGGCCTAAGAGTCCCCCAGCTGAGAAACGTCATACTCTTGCCAGATCGGGGGGGGGGGCGGGGGGCAGCGGGAGGAAATGGAGGGAAGGAGGGAGGGCTGTGCCTGGTCACGGAGTCTCCCACCTTGTCTTGCTGTGTACTCGTTGTCTTCAATCAAGCGGGCCAATCCGAAGTCGGCAATCTTGCAAATCAGTCCATTCCCCACTAGGATGTTTGCTGACCGCAGATCTCTGTGGATGTAATTCATGCGCTCGATGTAAGCCATTCCTGCAGCAACCTGCAGAGACCCAGGGAAGGAAGCGCAATGGTTACACCCCAGCCCTCCACGTGTCCATGTGGGCACAGCCGCGGCCGGAATCACGCTGCCCCATGGCATACCTGTGCAGCCATGTCGACAAGATTTGGCAACTTCAGGGCTCTCCCTTCACCGTCTTTTAAGAAGTCAAGCAAACTTCCTATGAATGAAACATGAAGCCGTTTTAGTTTGTTTACTCAGACAGACAAAAGTTCCGTGTGAGCTGCATCTGATTTCCTTAAGTACAATGTAGCTGAGTACGACAATGCCTTTGACGGAAAAAGAAAGGTTTGTATAAAAAAAACAGAAACAAATTCTGTGTTTTAAGAAGCAAGTTTTAGCATCTGAAAATACAGCGATTATTTTGTTTCTAAAGACAAAGTGTTCGGTAAACTAGAAGAAATGAAGGTCATCCCCTTTTCTGTCACAAGGGGAAGTATGTCAGGGATGGAACCATAGTCCCTGCCTGCAGAGGGGTGGTGGGAGGAAGACCGCCCAGCTGGGTACACTGAGGCTGGACCGAGTGGTCCAGCAGCACGGCGCCGCCAAGGAATTTGCTGCAAGTGCACACTCTCAGGCTCCATCGACTGCACAGGGACGCTGGAGTCACATCCAGACCCCTGCATTGCCACAGGTCCTGCGATACAAGGGGGTCCAGCGCTGACCTATGTTCAGGGTTAGGCTGTGAACGCAGCGTCTGAGGGATGTGGGACACAGAGCTTCCTATTTAGACCTCTGCCTCAGACATCTGAGACAGACAGCCAACAGCCAGAGCCTCAGAGCCAGGCTTGCAAGCTGGGAGAGGAGGCCCAGAATTGACACCAAGGCGGAGATAATCATTTGCAGGAGCTGGGGGCACATGATGGCCGCCAGTGGGTTCCCCCCCCTTTTTTTTTAATGCTTTAATCACAAAGCTATTTACAAAATAACCCTGGATACAAAGGGCAAACAATCTGCCAGGAAAAAAAAAATTCCAATTATATTTTAAAAGAAAGTACATAGAGAAGAAAAATTGCACTAGTGTCTTCTAATGCACAATGCATGGCCTTTTAAGGCTGTTTCTTGTTTGGCTCATTTATTTTTCCAAAACAAAGTGCTCTCTGGCTTCATCCCCAACAATGCTGGTTTGATTATAATGACGCACACATGCACACGTATGCACCAACACATGAGTGTTCAGGGAGGGGAGGGAGGGGACAACTGCATGCCATTTCTTCACCTGACATTTAAAGAGGGAACTGGGGGTAAACATTGCCCTGGAGCCTGAACTAACCCAGCGACTGGCTGCTATTGATCATTATTCCTAAAAAGGAAAATTTAACAGAAGCCACTGATTCAAAATGGCAGCAGGTTTCATAGCCTTCCCCATTCGCTCTGGTAGAAAATGGATGTTTTAATCATGCAGAGGAACATTCCTGATGTGTACCAGGCAAAAGATACCATACTACTCAAGGGGGGGGGGCAAGCTCAATGTTCCCCCTTCCTAAGTGTCCTGAGTGAGCACAGCCGGCACTTTCTCATGGGAAATCCCTGGCCCATGCTGAAACTGGAGCCTAAATAAGGGGACAGCCCTGTTTCTGTCTCTGAACAGAAGGGGTGAGAAGGGGGGGAGAGGAGGGGGAGGGAGGGAGAGGAAGAGGAAGGGAGAAAGGGAGAGGAAGAGGGAGGAGGGGCAAAGTGGGAGGAGGGAGAGGAGGGGAGGGAAGGGAGGGGGAGAGAGGGGAGGATGGGGAGGGAAAGGAGGGGGAGGGAGGGGAGGATGGGGACGGAAAGGAGGGGGAGGAGGGAGGGGAGGGGGAGGGGAGGAGGGTGCTGCCTAACCTTTACTCATGTATTCTGTGACGATGTAAATGGGCTCCTCGGACACCACTGCGTAGAGCTGCACCAGCTTGTCGTGTTTCAGCTTCTTCATGATCTGCGCTTCCTCCAGGAAGGACTCTGGGGACATTGTGCCTGGCTTAAGAGTCTTGATGGCCACTTTGGTGTTCCCATTCCAGGTGCCTACAAACATCCCACAGCGGTAAGTCAGCCCAGCAGCGATGCGCATAGACTCAGACTCTAAGTTTTAAAGGTCTTAAACGGTTCTTACAAGCAAAAACAATTAACTGCAAAGGACTCTGTCATGTATGTCAACAGAAAAAAAAAATGGGTTTACTTATAGTTGTTCAATAATTGGCCAGCTTTCCCCTTTTAATATACATCACTCTTTTTACGGTCATCCATATAATTGTGAATTTACATCAAAAAGCTTTGGGCTCTTATGAATTTAGAGTTGTCCTGGGTATCCAATAGCTGTCCCTTAGGTAATGGGGAAAGATTGGAAGAAATCAGATTAAATTTCATCTTAGAGGGTGTGCCCCGTAAAAACATGGCCACGCATGGAGGGTGCGTGGGAACCAGTTCTAGCTGTCAACGTCTGCACGGATGAGTTACCTGACTGAGTCCTTCAGCAGCTGTGCTAAGTGTGCCCGCGAGCACAGGTAAGGGACAGAGCATCTCCTTGCCCGTGCCTCCCCAGGTAAGGCAATCCCTCAGGCTCTGAAGAGTCAGCCACAAGAACAATGGCTTCTAGCCGGTGGGCTGCAAAACTAAGCAGCACTGAGGCAAGAAGGGAAGTATTTAAATATCTAAACGTGCTTTGTCTAAATACTTCTGTAAAAATCTAGCTGACCCAAAGGTGAGGCCTGCTGTGTGGCCTCTACCAATTAGTTCATCTGTAGAGTACAGCAATGGACTAGCTTTTCATCTCTGGCTTACTTCATTTCTATCTGATGACTCTGAAGGATAATTTCTTAAAGGGAAAATAAAACTCTGATAATTTAGATTATATTGCTTACAACCTGAGAGAGAATATAGGTTGAAACCAAGATTTGCTCTTATGTAATCTGACTTTCAGATCTAAGGAGCCTGTATATTGAAGCATTCTATTATTCTGTTAAAACATACAATTACAACATGCATCCTACAGAGGGGAAAAACCTTTGAAAGAACCAGGGGCTTAAAGAGTTCAATGAGCTCAGAAAATATCTGCCACTCAGTGTAAATGGGAACTTTGACAACGTTTAAGCGGCCTCCGTGATTTAACTGTTAATGTGTTCCAATGTAAGCAGTGTGCGGTCTTCCTCTCTTAGCAGATTGGTCTAGGCTTCTATCCCAACTCTTCTGTTTCATGGGAATCAACACCTTGGTGCTCTGTGTAATGATGAGTTAAAGTTGATAGTTTCAAGTGTTTGAAGATAAAATTTCCTATAGCATCCAATTCCTCCTTAGGACTTGCAACTTAATAACTTCAATTAAAAATTGGGTAGATCATGAGAAGTAAGTTATATAAGCAGATTTTTATACTTGATACAAAGTCTAGGCAGGGATGGATACATTAATGAGGATTCACTATCATGATATGCCTAATGGGAAACAGCTAACACACATACATGCACGTCTGTGTAATTCCACCATCCATATGTGCATCTGTTTATGTTTCTGCATGGTACCTGCTGTGCTTCAAGCATTCTGATCCCATGAATTTTCTTACTGTGGAGTATCCCTGAAGACCACATGTACCTGTATAGCCTTTTGGACTCCTTGCAGGAAGGGAGACTCCAATACACTTTGTTGTTATTTCACGGGCAGATGTTTTGGGAGTGATCTAAGTCTATGGATTGTCTGTAAGCCAAGTTGCATCTGACCCACAGGGTTATAAACGCTATCCTAAGGGCCCAGTGCAGTCCGCATTACTGACAACCAAAGGTATGCATGGACCTAAGATCTACAAGGGATTTCAAACATGTCTGATATAATCCTCAAAATAATCCAGTGAAGTACCTATGACTTTGGTTTTACAGATGAGGAACTGAGGCTCAGAGGTGTTAAACAGGCCCCGTATTTCTGCTGAATCTCCCAGCAAGGGTTCAGAGCTGCCCCCACGCAGCATCTTACCATCCCATTTCACAGGAAGGTGAAGCCCCGCGTTTGCAGCGTGCTGGCTTCCTGTCTGCAGGTGCTTTTGTGAGCCACACGAAATAGGACAGATGAAAACAGCAAGTGCCACCACATTCTGCAAACCCGGGCTTGACGCCCGCCTAGTTACAGAGGTCAAGGGTCTTCGTCTCAGTGGTCACATATGCACCTCTGTTCAGAACTGTCCTTTCCATTGGCTTTGAGATGCAGCCCAACAGAATGTGCCCTCTGCCTTACCAAGCCACACTTCAGCGAAACACCCCTGCCCCAGTTTCTTCTCCAGAAACAACGAGTCACGTGCAACTTCCCAAGCATCCTTAGACAATCCCGAAGTTTGTGGGGTGCAGCTTGATGAAATCACAGTTAAGTTAAAACACAAACCATCAGCTTTCTCTATAGGAAAGGGAATTAATAAAGAAAACACAGTCCTTATAATCCATAATCATGCATGTACTAGGAAAGATGGAAGGTGACTTGCCCTGAGGGCGACTCTCAGCGGATACCTATCTGCAGCTGGCAACAAAGAGTGACACACCACGAAGGCTGGTTGCCAGCTTTAGCACAACCCGGGCCATCTGTCACCCTTGTTCATTTCTATCTTTTGAGAAATCCCAAATTTCTTAGAATAAAAATGAAAATTGAGCAATTCAAGCTGTCTGCTTTCCTGGTCATAACTCAGAAGTCTTTATTCTCACCTTCCATCTTTGATGTTGGGGTTTCCCACACGGGGAAGCTAATAAGAGAGAGATTGAGTCTCAGCATACCCATCCATACTTCCCCAAACTGCCCATTTCCCAGTCTCTTGATCAACTGCAGGGATTCTCGAGGGATTTCCCAGACATCTTTGGTTTTGACAGACAGATCGGTAAGCCTTGGCATCCCTTTGTGACAGGGGACTACTAGGCGGCAGCAGAGGCCTGCGGCTCTTTCTGAAGCGGGGCAGCGGCGGGGGAGAGAAGAACAGAACATGAACAACAGTGTGCACAGGCTGTAGACGATCTAAGCAACACAAGCTAAGCAAACACATTCCCTGGAGGTGGATGAAGGCATTGCAGATGTGGCCTCTGCTCGTCCACTGGGCGAGCCCCATGCACACAGGTGCAGACTGCTGTGGCTTCTGTGCACCGCAATCTAACGGACTGGCATACATATTCTGGGATTCAGAAAATGCCCTTGCTAATTTCAAAAAGTGCATTAGTAAGAATAAAACCTGTGACTGCCCCTTTCCCTTCTGAGATCTGGACGGCCTAGGGGTTGAAGGAATCTCGCTGGTACAAATGTGTTTAAAAGGTGACTCAAGTGTACACCTGGCAGCCGGGGAAACACGACATATTTTCCTTAGGGATGGCTTTGTCCTTCTGATTCTGTTCTATCAGTCCTGTTTTTTTTGGGGGGGGGCAATTTTCCACTTAAAACAAACAAAAGCAAGAACATAACCATTTAAACAGCTTCCTATGTACAATTTAGGAGTCTGGGTTCAAAGAACTAATGGAAATTAGCATTCACAGAGCCTCAACAGCGTGAAAGGTGAGGGAACAGCAGCCACTGCTCAGGTTACTCGGCAGTTACTCCTTCCTTTGTGAAAAGAATTTACCTGTGAGAATCTAGCAAAGGTAAGGAGAGGATGACTAAATGTAGGCAAGGAGTAAATACTCAGGGACGGATGGAAGCCGCACACAGCCTGGACTGACAGGTGGACAGAGCCCCCATGTCCCTTGGAGCCCTCAGATCCAAAGCACAGACGTGGCTGCCTCTTTTCTGGGAACTCTTAGCTTTTTTTTTTTTTTTTTTTTTTTTTTTTCCACTTTTCTTTTCAATGGAATGCAGTTCTGAGATGTCTAGGCAGGAAATTATTTATGTGTCAGTATTTCAAAGGCATTCTGTGTGCAAGAAAGAGAGAGCAAAGAGGAAAAGCCAATATAAAAACAAATCTAACTCAAGATAGATTTTTTCCCTGAGATTAAAAAACGCCTATTGTTCTTCATATCCGCTCTCTCCTTCCGGCTTTATGATGTTATTAAGGTGCCCTTTCCGGCACACTATTTTCAAATGATCCAAACCCTGGGGATCCTGCTGATGTTTGCCTGTAATGAAATATATTTCAGCGTTTGAAGAATCCTTATAACATGCAGGCGTTTTGTGTATATCTCTGAAGCTCAGGGAGATTTTCTGCTCCATTTCTTGCAACATTTCATTAGAATCCACATAAAGTGAGAGAGCTAATGCCTGAATCATTGGCTGCTCAGGTACTGTTAATTTTTTCAATTGCTCATCAATGGCCAGAATCAACTCGTAGGCATTTCTTCTTGTTATTTTTTTTACAAGACTACATCTTTTTGTGTGCTAAAAATAGCGCAACTATTGTTCAATGGTAGAGTAAAATAGCAGGGTGTGGCTCCTACATCTGTAATCCCGACATTCAGGAGGCTGACCCAGGAGGATTGCTATAACTCTGAAAGGTCACCTTGGGCTACACAGTGAATACTGGGTTACCTAGGGCTGCAAGTGAGACCTTATCTGGGAAAAGAGAAAAAAAGGAGGTGGTCTTGTATGCATGCATTTCATAGTGGGACACACTTGTTAACCAAGGAAAGCAAGCACAGCGTATTAAACAATTGCACATAAAGCTACAGATTTAAATAAACTGCACATACATATACACATATCCAATAATTAAAATCGCCTAGAGCAAAAAATAATATCATTAGGTGTGAAGACAGTATAATCTTTGTTTAAAGTCATTACAACACCTGGGTGTGATGGCGCACACCTTTAATTTCAGCACCAGGAGGCAGAGGCAGGTGGATCTCTTGAGTTTGAGGTCACCAGGCCTACAGTGAGACCCTGTCTCAAAAAAAAAAAAAAAAAAAAAAAAAAGAACAACAACAAAAAACCCCGTCACAATAAAGGTAGCCGACAGCTGTTGCCACACACGCGTAGGCCTGGGTGGGAAGCAGCACTTGGAGAACTGAATGCAGATTTACTTCTGCAGACAGATGCTCATGAGATGCGGGAACGCGTGTGCGACTCCCTGCAGGGCAAGTGATGTTCCATGTGAGCCTGCCCAGGTGCCGCTCCTGCCTTTCATGGCTCTGCTTTACATGAAGGCAGCAGGAAAAGAACATGCCAGGGTTTTTATTATGAAAATAAAAACAGAAACAACTTTTGAGATTTGAACTTTTGCCTTCTACTTGGGGGAGCTCCTGAAAAACACCCGAGGGTGGTATTATCTGTGGTTAGAACACATCAGCGGTGCAGCCCCAGGGTCAATTCTGATGTCAGGGTGCACAGCAAAGGACTGTCCACCGTGTGGCCTTGTCCCTTCCCCGCTCTGGGCCCACCCACTCCTTCCAATTTCCAAACGCTGAGGGTAGTTAGGGTTAAGGTTACCTGAGTAGTGCTGTACAAGCTGCTGAAGACTTTCAAACTGGGCCCGGGTTGTGATATAGTATCCACCATTATCAAGTTTGCGAATTTTATAATGTTTGACATGGTCCCCTTTCATATCATCCCAATCACGGATGGAAAGTGAGTAGGCACCTGGTAAATACGTGAAGCATCAGCAATGTGGTCTTCTCTGGTTGCCAGTCTGTTTTGTAGGTCTCATTTATTTGACTATTCTAATAATTACCAAAAGGACACACTTACATGCATGCACACACATGCTTGCACACTTACACACACACACACCATGTCCACTGTCACAGGATAATGACATCTCTTGCTGTCCTGTCCATGTCAGAAGATGTTAACAACCAAATGACTTTGCTCTTGGAACTAAACTTCCCAGCTATTTTTCTAAAGTTTCCCCCCCCCCCCAGTTCCTTGTGTTGCATAACACAGCCCAGACTGGGCAAGTTCAAGAGCAGTACAGGGACTCTAGGTGAGCTTGGCTCCTGATTTCACTTCCTACGGGTACCTGAGAGGCAGGGACGGGAGGGGAGAGACGATGGAGGAACGGGGGGGGGGGGGGGGAACAAAAGAAATGGAACACTGCTCCTCTAAAAGGAAGCTCCAGAGCTCTGCTGGTGGACACTTCACGGGGACAGGTTCCCAGAGTATGGCACATGGAGCCAGAGACAGCCTTCCCTGCCCTTTGACCTGCCGCCTCCCATGGGCTCTAACCAGTTATTAAACAAAGGAAAGGGAAATGAAAAGTCCTCCACTAACAACACAAAATAGAATGAAAGGGAAGAAAAGCCAAACACCCTTCCTGCAGGGTCACTGGCACTCTCGAAGTTCCAGTCGGAGGCAGGAATGCTTCTAGAGTCTCCCCGGGAGCCCTGGGCTTCTGGAATTGTCCATGTTCCAGAGTCTTCAGGGGAGAGGCAGAGCAGACTGCTTCAGGCCAGGGGGCCTGTGCCAGTTAAGGCCCTGGTGCGTCACAGCGGAGCCTTCCAATCCCGCGGACTGACCCACAGATTTTAGTGACAGGCAGCCCTGTCCGCTCCTTATCTTACCTTTGGTGGTTTCGCTCTCGCGGATAAGAAAGGTACCTCTTGGGTTTCCAAAGGACAGGAGCTGCCTCTCGGCATCTTTTCTGCCAAGTTTTCCAAAGTACCACCTTAGAGGGAGAGAGGGGGAAAGAGAATAAAGCCACCTGTACTGAGCAAAGGCAGCTCTCCCTCCACAGGTCCCCTCTCCCCAGTGTAGTCCACTGCCCACAACTGGGTTTCCCCTGCTTCATTCAGTCCCTTTTCCCATCTATTCCCGAGTCTTCCCTCTCTCCATCTCTTTCATTCTTTTTTTTTTAAAAAAAAAATCAGATTTGAATCATGGGTTATTTTCCTTCCCTCTAGGGTGACAGGAATATACACGTGTAAATGCACAGAAAGAGAAATCTGCCACCTTGTCTGAAATGCCAACTGCAGGAGATACTTCCACAGCTTAGCGAGAAGACCCGTGATTTCTGAGCATAATTACAACTCCTGGGAACTACCAAGACGCAGCCCTAGTATAGAGACAGCTCATTAATCAAGCATTATTTTCTAGAAACTCACTCAGGATGGATAAAGAAGAAAGATGGATAACATTTCTACTCAGGCTCTGCCTATGAGAATTGAGATCACTGTTGTCCTTGGAAGCCCGTTTTGGTTGTCTTATTCCACTTGGCAGGTGGGAGGGCTCGCGTTATCGACAAGCAGTTAGCCAGCACCTGGCCTGTGATCTGCAGCAGGACTGCTCTGACTGACACACAGCTGTAGAGACAGCTTACTGCATATCTGAGCTCTGCACACAGTTAACGAGCAGGTCCAGGAAAGTGAGTCGGTGGGTACACATTTCAACATTCCCTTGCAACAAAGTGCTGGCTCTTTTGTGCTGTGGTAGAAAGCGCCTCCCAAGTGGCCCCAAGGTCTTCCTGTGTCTTTTGCCTCCCACCTGTCTGTCCTGTGGAGCCCCAGCCAATGGCTGGCAATTGGTTTACATTTTGGCACTGGGTGGTACACGAGCAGTTAGTTAAGCACACTAAAATCCCAAGGAAGAGTTTTGGAGCAATTCTGGAATCTGTGTGTAGGAGAAAATTTTAGGATGTTTAACTATGAAAGCTTGCTGTTTACAAAATCACGTAGCTAATAAGCTCAGTCCTTCTGTGAGGGAAAGAATTTCACTGAAGGAAAGTCCCCACACACTAGCTCTCCGGGGACTTGGAGATGGACCAAGATTTCCCACAATCCTAGTTTAGTGATAGTTGGTCTAAAGGATATGACACCAATTATCTGTGAGAAATGCCTTGCTTGGATTGCACCAATAACTCAGTTAAGATGCTGTGCAAAGCAGGGGCAAAAGGGGGCTTTATTAAAAAAAACTACCCTAATCTTGAAAACTCCCAAATATTAGAAACCCTTAGCATTAGAAATGTGAATTTAATATGAAGTCAATGGGTTTGCAGTTAAATCGAAGTAATGCTACTCTGTAGTGAGTTAAATTCTGAAAGACATTGGAGATATTTATTAATCTGTCCTAAAAACAGATGTTCAGCACAAATACAAATATATAATGAAACACATTAATGAAAAGGGGGAGAAAAAACAGCTCAAAACCACTGAATGCCAGACAAGCAGAAACAGATCTCCTTAGTAAAGGACACACACAGGAATCGCGGAGACGCTGACCAGCCGGGGATGCGGCTAGGATGATGGTCTAAGCCTCCCTGCTGTGCCTCAACAAATCCACAGCCAGTTACACACGAGAGCTGCAGGTGGTGCACAGCTCCCTTCCTCTCCCATTCTAGAAAGTCAAGTCCCAGGGCTGGGGCAGAGGCCAAGTCCCTGAGCTGGGGACATCCTCACCCCCTTTCCTCTTGCCAGCCAGTGTCTCTGATAGAAGGGACAATGGCCAGCCACTCATCGGCTGACAGCCCGGAAGTCCCCCACTTTCCCTAACCTGCCTCCAGCGGGAGAGCAGGGCCAAGTAACTGCTAGTCAGGCTCCACCAGCCACGAAAGCAACCCAGACCTCAAAGGGAGGCATCACTTGAAACCCACAGCTGCAGTATCAGCAAGTTGTGGGGCTTGCTGCATGGGAAATACTTCTACCTGGGGCCAAAAGGCATGCCTTTTCAGGGCTCTCAATATTTCTGATTATCGGGGAGAAGACTCCTTGCTTAATCTTTAGTAATTACTTGCCTCCCCGGTGCCCAGGGAGCGGACTAAAGGTGCACCGTGAGCTCTCAATCATACGCGCTACAGTTGGAGTCTCACCACATTAGTTTTTAATCTAGAGCAAATTATTGGGTTTTCATTTAGGGTGCTCATATAAACCTTCTAAATAAGAAAATGGACAGGCTCACAAGAAAATATGGAGTTAATAACAGTGTATCCCAGAGACCTACAGAAATGTGAGCACAGCAGCAGCATTGTAGCCCCTCAACCCACAATCCCTGGTCAATGTCTTCTCTCTCCTGTGCCATGTCACTGGCATTTTATTGTGACAATTAACTTTTAAAAGCAGGTAGTTAGAGAAAACAACTACAGACATACTCTTCTGCCTGGATAGAGTCAACCGGAGCCACATAATTGCTCGGAATGTAACCAGTTTCCCCCGTTGTCAAGGAGCGGGCTTCCCACCAGTCTCCTTCCCTGCAAAGAAAGAAGAGAGAGAGCCATGATTGCGCCATCCATCCAGCACTCTGCAGTCAGATTTGATGCAGTAATCAGTCCTTCTGCCGTGCAATTCCTGCAGTCCTGCTCTGCTTCTGCAAACTAACACAGGCCCGAGGGAGGCCCAATGTCTTACAACCCAGACCAACCCGAGCTGAAGCCAGGGCTGCCTCCTGCCTTCTGGGGAAATGATGCAGCAGAGTCAGCAGTGGTCCAGTGGTCAAGGCTAGAGATCCTAAAACAAACACTTTCTCACGCAGGGCTCCATGGGGGTGCACTGGCAGGAAAAGCATTCTTCTGGGGAGGGGGCAAAGTTGGATGAGGTGTGTTAGGTGAGTAAGCAGCCTTGGCTTACTTTGGGAAAACTGCAGACTGTTTAGGGGAGGGAAGCGTGTTAGGAGGCGCAGAGAGGGATGGATGCCGGCTCAGTGTATCCATCTCGCTTGCTCTTAAGAAAGTGGGAACGCATGCTTTCTGCAGGTGGAATGACAGGCTCTTCTCTGACACCTGCAATTGGGGTTGCTATCGACCTTCATAGCATTAGCCTGATTCTGAGGGAGGGCGAGCTGGTGCACAGATGGATGACAGGAGCAGGAAACTCAGAGGGCAGTGAATTCTGAGGCATGGCAGCAAAGTGCTCACAGCGTGTGAGGCAGGAGGGCACTTTCAGCCCTCAGTTTAAAGTCACAGTACAGAAGACAGGTGTCCGTGTGCTGGGACCCACGCAGGGTGTTGTGCCCCAAGGAGCAAGGATGGAGTGTGCATCCCTCCCATTAACAATGTGGGGACAGCAGGTGGGATGTGTGCAGTGTGGCTGTGACTCGGCCAACGAGGGCAGGAGTGTGGTGGGTGGGCAGGGCTGCCCCCCCTCCCGCACCCCAAGGCCTCAGTCTCAGACCACTACAGACCCATCACCTCCTTGTCGTCCCTTAGTCCTTGGAGTAAGAGTTAAAAAACAAAACAAAACAAAACACCTTTGGCTGGGCTGATTGATACTCTCAGCCAAGGAAAAAATATACCGGCATAGGGCTGGGGGAACATTCTCTCTAATCTGACTACACTGTGTAGAGACCATCTAGCCTCCTGTTAAGCTGGAGTATTTTCAGGTTCTGCAGATGAAATTTCTGAGCAGGGTTACCACGGAACATTGAGTCAGGCGGAGGTTTAGAAAGCCTCAGAATAAAACGGAGACTAGTCCCAGTGGGTGTGGCTATAGGATGATGGACCAGTTCGCAGGAAATAAGGGCTTTGCTTGTTTATTTTTTAAAAGATTTATCCTTTTAAAACATTGTGCGTAGGCATGAGTGTGTCTGTATGCAGTTATATGCATGTGACTTGAGGTGCCTCTGGCGGCCAGAGCCCTCTGACTCCTGATGGTGTAAGCTGCCTGGTGTGTGCTGGGGACCAAACTTAGCCCTACTAGAACAGCACATGCCCTTAACTCCTGAGCTGTCTTTCTAGTTCTGAGGGTTTCAAACAAAACTTATTCCTTGGCTAGGTTTGATAGAGCACACATTTAATCCCAGTACCTGGAAAGCAGAGGCAGGTGATCTCTGTGAGTTCAAAGCCAGCCTGGTCTACACAGTGAGTTCCAGGCTAGCCACGCAACATGGTGAGACCCTGTCTTGAACAAACATATTCCTTAGTGTCTTAGTCTTCCTTCTAAAAACCCTGTTAGACAAACAGATCCACCACAAGAGGGGTATTGTAGTTCCCCTACCCAGAAAGCTCTTTAATTATAGCCATATTACGTTCACAATCTTGTTTGAAATATTTATATACATTAAAGACTTTATTTTCCTGTCATTTTCCGAGTACATGGACATCTACAGCAGCTACAATCTGGACTTGTGTCCCTCTCCCTTGTAGTAGTGACTTGGGACTGGGGGTAGTCTGTTGCAAAGTGCTTGCCTAGGGTGCCCCAGTTCCTAACCCTAGCACTACAGGAGTTAAAAAAAAATAAAAGGTAACATTTTAAGTTTGCATGGTTTCAATTTCTTGCCTAAGTCTAGCATCTTGCCTAAGCTTAGCATCTAAATGTATATATGAAAGTTATGCTAACCATTATGAGTGTTTAAGAAAAAGTCTTTGGAAATACTACCTTCATTTTAATAGTGACAATCTTTACTGCTCTGAACTTCCACTAGATGGAGACATTTCATCATTTAAAAAAAAAAATCACCCAATGGCTCCTCAGTACAGACAGTCCCCCAATGCGGGAAAGGCTCCATCCAAAAGGGTGAAGAAAAATTAAGTGCTTGTAGCTAGCATAGGTTTACCTTCATCAAGTTACTTAAAACTGAATTAAATTAAGGAAAAGAGAGGCTACCATAGATTTCAGGTGACGTCAGAATGTCAACAGGGGAGTCCATGCATCTTGCTGCAAATTGGGACAAGCCCAGTTTTATTCAGGTGATGCTGCCCTAATGAAGCAAGCTGCAAAGCAAGTTAGTATTAGCTTGTTTTGGTGCAGGTGCCTAGTTCATTATACATCGGAATCTAACAATACCACAAGAGTCTGTAATTATTCACAAGGAAGATACTACTACTTGGACTTCTGTTTCAGGGCTAGTCAGGGTCATTATTGGTCAGGGTCATTATTATTACTGTTACTGTTATTATTATTCTCTGTCTTACAAGTGACGCACAAGTGATTGGGACCCTCTGCATTATGAGGTAAATGTCACACCACTGTTTAATACACTCGAAGCAACAATTCACCTACAAATACCATCTGCACATCGTGTTGATTTGGAGTGGGATTTCTAATGTGCTCCTTCCAATCTTGACTTGAGCTGCTATAATTAATCATTATTAGTAAATCTGTGTGTGTGCACGGGTGTAGAAGGCATGTGTGTTCAGATATGCATGCCTGTGTGTGTGTGTGCGCGTGTGCATGCGCATGCACGCATGTCTATAGAAGCCAAAGGTTGCTGCTGGTGTCTTCTTCAATTGCTCTGAGATGGCAGTCTCTCATTGAGCCTGAAGCCAGCTGACTCGGCTGACAGCTGGCTGGTGACCCTCCTGCCTGGCTGCTTCCCTCCCACTCTTTTAAAAGTATTGCTGCCACACTCAGCTTTCTGTGGGGACCAGACTGGGTTCCCGGATCTGGATCTTATCTACTGGGGACTGGACTGGGTTCCCGGATCTGGATCTTATCTACTGGGGACTGGACTGGGTTCCCGGATCTGGATCTTATCTACTGGGGACTGGACTGGGTTCCCGGATCTGGATCTTATCTACTGGGGACTGGACTGGGTTCCCGGGCCTTACCTGCTGGGCCATCTCCCTGGCCTATAAAGCTGTATTTCTCTAAACTGTCCTTACAGTTCAGCTTCTTTATTGATTCATACTTGGTGAGACACTGTCTTACTGTTTTGATTACTGTTTTGATGTAACCCTGACACAGGTTGAGAATGGCTTCTAAGTTTTTATAGTAATCCCGTGTTCGTATCTTCCTGTCTCTAAACCCTAACGCCCCTCACAGGGCTGTGGCTCCAGGTTCTGGGAGCCCAGATGCAGGCAGGAAATGGCTTTGCCAACAGCTGCCAGCCTTGCCCTGTCCAGCCACGGAGTGCTAGATTCTTCCTGCATTTGGCAACTGCACTTCTCAGTCTGAGAAATCCTTTCTGTAACAACTTTTATCACATGAGTAATCAAAAGGAAAACTACTTTTGTTCTGATGGTGACAGAAAAGAACTTTCAGTGGGTCCTGGGTAATGACTGCAAATCCATTTGTGTAAAAAGCATTTTAGGAACTTGCTGTTTCAAGATGGTTAAATCACTAGTTACCAAGTGTGAAAATAGGGTATTAAATGGGGAATTAAATACAGTGCAGAGTGAGTTCAGGCCTGCTAAAGTTCTGAGGTGCATGGGATGGGGCCCTTCTGAGTACTGACCTGTACATACGATGGCGGACGAGGGCCTCTTGATGGGGGTGGGTGAGGAGAGGGACACAGGAGAGGGGGGCTGGCAGCTGCCCCAGAACAGAGCCCCAACCCTCCCCTGTCAGCCGCGAGAGCCAGGGCTGGGCGGCGGCAGCGGGGGAGGGAGGGGCTCGTGCCATCTGCTCTGTGGTCCTTTGTTTTCCCTCCCCTGCTTTCCTTCCCTGTTATTACCCTTGACTCCAGATACCGTTTTGTGGTACAAGCCTTATTTTTCTCTTCCATAACCTTGAAAGGCGCACTTAAATGGCATGCAGGATGCAGAATTCCACTGTGAAAGGAAAAGCCCCTCTGAGATTCTCTCTTATGTGAGAAGGGTCAGTGAGCCGCAGGCTCTGTAAACATGGAAACCTATGCATTCACATACAACAGGGAGGCAGGGCAGACTGCATCCGTCCCTTAAACATTCCCAGCGTTCACTTTGATGATACCGGAGGTCCTTTCTGTAACAACGGAAGAGGCCGTGGATTTGACTCTGCTTCAGGAATGGACACAGACCCCCAGAGCTGTACTTGCTTCTGTCTAGTTTGAAATCCCTGTATGAACTGGGGAGTTTACAGGAAGCCCATCAACAGACTGACAAGATGTATCCATCTGAGACTCAAAGGAACAGTAAGTAATCACAAGTGAGAAGAGATGAAAGCCAGATCCCCCCTCCCCAGATGTCCAGAATACTTTCTAAATCTTTTCCTGTCACTTGGACACTTGAGCTGTCTTTGATGGCAGCATCTGGGCTTTTCCAAGATCACCCCGACACCTTACACCTCACCCTGGGCTTCGCCCTCTGCCTGGCCTGCGCACTCGGGCAGTCCCCTAACCCGTGTATCACATAACGACTGTGAGACATACCTCAGACAGTTGTGACGAATAAATGACAGCAACCGAATCTCAGCACATGGTCAGTGCATAAGGAGCTCTCAATAAATGGCAGCTGTTTACTATTAAGAACGTCCATGTCTGCAGGAGGTCTCTAGTGGGGGAGGGGCTGCTCTCAAGCTTAGTTTGTGAGACTACAGTAAACTTTATGTTTTTGAAAAACTGTGGTAAGACACATGTAACATAAACATATCAATTTAAAATCTTTAAGCATGAATTTGCAAGGCAATAAGCTAGTAATTACACTGTTATACAAGCATCACCAGGCATGGTTATATGCACATTTCTGCATGTATTTCAGTAAATTAAAAACAAAACACACCCACACCTCTGTTGGTGATGACAATGCCTAATTTTAAAAGTTCACGGTGTTATGCAGACAGGGTCTGCTGACCTGCAGTGTGAAGGTCTGCCGTGCCCAGAGCTGAAACATGGAGGTAATCTGAAGGCAGAGGGCACGTGCCTGTCATCTGAGAATGTGGATTTGTACGTGTGTATGTGGGGGGGGGGTTGGAGGGATGCTTGGTGGCTATGGGTGCTTGTGTCCCAGAATCCCTGTCCCAAGCCTACAATCCCAGTGCTGTGGGTGTGAACCCCGCACGGTGCTGTGGGTGTGAGGTACAGACAGACAGACTGCTGGGGCTTGCTGGCTGCCAGGAGATTCAGGTTCAAAGACAGACCTGCCTCAAAGTGACAGATGTCACCTTATGGCTTCCTCTGGCCTTGATGCCCACATTTGCGCGCGCGCACACACACACAGAGCCAGAAAATAGATTCTAAAACAGACTCTGCTTTACATAGTCCTTTAGCAAACAGTGCCATGTAACACTGCCTTTTTGTTTTGTTTTTTAAAACCAATTCACCCAGGTTGTACTGCCATGAGCTAGTGGATTCAGTTAAAATAGTCTTTCCTTATCTTCAGGTATCTGATGTGTTTGCCACAAGAACCTTTTCCCAAACCAAAAAGCAGGTGTGCTTCACCTCCCTCAAACCCAAACTTACGAGCTGTTCAATATCTGAAATTTTTCTCCTTTATGAAAACTCAGGTCATCTTCCGTCCGTGCTTCATAGTCATAAAGGGCCACAAACAGTGTCACTCCTGCCAAAACAAGGAAGGATGTTGTCACACAGGTTATTAATACCAAGAAACTATAATCTCTGCTAAAGTCTCACCCTTAAAATCGATGTTTATTCGGCATTGATAGACATGAGGTGTTGCAATTAATATGGAACACCATGGCTGGATTTATACCATGGCCTTTATAGAGGGGACCTCATAACAAAAACCTGGAGTTGAGGGACTCTGGGTGAATACCGGGGAAGAGGTGGGTTCCGATCAGTATGGGTTTGCAGCACTTACTGCCACACTCTGTCACCTACCCACTGTCCCTGGAAGCCTGTGTTCAGACCAGTGAATGAACAGGGACTTCTCTGTGGCCACGGGAGACTCAGAGACGTCTCTGTAACATTCACCCCACACGGAAGCTGCATGGCCCTTGGCACCTGCAGCTGTGGTAATGGCTGCCTGCTTTGAGGTCCTACTGCACACTCTGTTCGCGCTCTGCCTTGAATTTTCCTGTGCTCACACTCCCCTCATTCTTCCCCAGACTCCTCCTCCTACATGACCTCACCTGCTGACCCTTAGGGAGCTGCCTTTCACTCTAGAAGTTTACCGTTAACAGCAAAACAAACGAACAAAGGCTCTCACTCAGTCTAGGCTTGCTCCACTGGGCAGCAGAATTCTAGGACAGTGTCGTGACTCCTGCCTTGGCTCACATGGCCCTGCACAGCCTACTTCCCTTATGAACACAATGACTTGATTCAAATTAATACAGCGTCTGGGGTGACAGGGTGTCCCCAGGGTGACGCATCTTTCCAGAAGACAGACTTCTCTGCTGCCACACTACCTTGCAGACTTTGACTAAGAAGGGTGCCATGCTGGCAACAAACTAGCCAACCCCCAGCCGGGAACTGGATCCTGCCCAGATCACATGAGCTAGGAGCAGGTCACTCTCAATCAAACTGTGTAGCTAACACACCCTGACCACAGCCTGTCCCAGGTGGAGGGCCAGGCTGTCACTCCCAGATTCAGACCCACAGAGACACAGAAAATAAACATAAGGTCACGGATGTGCCGTGCTCTGAAGTTCAGTGGTTGTTACTCAGGACGGGATAGCTGAAGGAAGGTTTAATTTCTCTGTAACCCGGCTTCCAAAAGTTTCCCCCACATGTTTCAAAGAACCGGCCATGATGGTTTAAGAGCACATGGCTTCCTCTCTGCCAAGTGCCACACCGTTGTGGAGCTTGCTGTTACCAGGGAGATGTGTCCACAGGACTGACGAAAGAGAGCACAGCCTGGAGGGGACGGAGGGGGCTTTTCCTTTCTCCTGTTCACCTGTCTCAGGTGGCTTCCTGACCACAGAGCAGGGCTGATGCGGTCCTTCTTCCTTTTCTAAGGGTTCTCTGGCTTAAGGACAAACTGTGGGTGCCCTATGGTCATGCCTGCTCAGTAACAGATGCCTCTCCCTTTATAATGGAAAAACAGAGCCACACCATCTTTACATGGAAGACAACTCACACTGGCCAGACCTTCCTGCCCTCTCTGTTTGTTTGTTATTTGTTTGTTTGAGACGGGGATTCTCTGTGTAACAACCCAGCTGTCCTGGAACTCGCTTTGTAGACCAGGCTGGCCTTGAACTCATGGAGAGCTGCCTGCCTCTGCCTCCATCACTGAGGATGGAGGAAGACATAAAGGTGTGTGGACAGAAAGCTGGCATTGGTCATGGTGGTCTTAGAAGACTGAAGGGAATGCTGACCGGAACGCAGAGCACACAACACAGCCACCCAAGCAAGGGGCATCTGCCGTCCCCGGGCTCTGCTTTTTTATGTATGTGTTTTTGCCTGTGTGTGCGTGTGCGCACCACATGTGTGTCCGAGCTTGTGGGGGCCAAAAGAGGATCCTGGGTGCCTTTGAACCGGAGTTACAAGTGGTTGTGAGCAGACTGATGGACAGAGGGAGGGGCCGGGAACAGAACCTGGGCCTCTGCAAGGGCAGTTCTTACCCCTAAGCTCCTCTCCAGCTCCAGTGTGCTGCATACGAAACTCCAAATTTTATAAGGAGTCAGGTGGCCTCTGCCACTAAGATCACCCCTGACTGGGGATGCACCCACAGGCTGACAAGGAGCCCATGCTGGTGACCTTAATGAATGAGACATGTACAGCCTTCACATCCAGTCTTCATAAATGAATGCGCAGGAATGATGCTCATGTTTGCTGAGTTAAGAGTTAGGGCTATAAAATACTCAACACCTCTCACAGTGGAGGGGTGTGTGTGTGTGTGCGTGTGTGTGTAGGAGTGTGTGTGAGTGTGTGTAGGAGTGTGTGTGAGAGTGTATGTGTGAGTGTGTGTGCGCGCGCGGGTGTGTGTGTGTAGGTGTGTGTATGCGCGCGGGTGTGTGTGTGCGTGTGTGTAGGAGTGTGTGTGCGCACGCGCGTGTGCATGTGTGTAGGAGTGTTGTGTATGTGTGAGAGTGTATGTGTGAGTGTGTGTGTGTGTGTGTGTGTGTAGGGGTGTGTGTGTGCGCGCGCGCGCGTATGTGAGAGTGTGTGTGTGTAGGGGTGTGTGAGTTCTGTATCTTCTAAGAACAAAGAGCCCTAGACTCCCTGTCTGCTTCCTTCTCAGGCCTTTGCAGGGGAACAGGAGGTCTGGTGAGGGTCTTGCTGTAGCTGGATTTAGGGGTAGCACAGGGTTGAGCACGGGCGTTTGTTCTGTGGGGCAGAGGCTGACTCAGCTCTGTGGGAAGAGACAATGTCACAGGCTTCGGTGCCCTCCCCCGCCTCCATGGACATATGATGTACACGGGAAAAGAGTCTAAAAACCTCGGCACCATCAGCTTTCCTGGGAAAAAGGCACAGTGATTTGTCATGGAGGACACGAGGCGTCTGTCCCCAGAAGAGCTGAGAGATGCTACATTCTTTTAAACTTTTGTAATAAACAAGTTTGGAACAAATAATGCCAAATATCTGGTTACCATGGTTCACGCACTGGGTGAGGATTTGGCAGACTGAAGATGCATGACACAAACGACAAGAAGCCCAGAGAATATGAACAAATGTATGCCAGACGTGTTATAAAGCATTAGCTCGGTCAGCAAACAGACATGCACTGAAACCTAGCCTTGTGGCATGAAAGAAAAGGAAACGGGGGGGGGGGGGGGAGAATATGAAAATGGTCTTGGCATACAAAACTCATCTTTAAAACACATAGCTGGGTGTGATGTTTCATGGCTGCAATCCCAACACTCACTGAGGCGGTGTGTGTGTGTGTGTGTGCGCGCGCACACGCGCGTGTGTGTGAGTGTATGTGTGTGTGTGTGTGTGTGTGTGTGTGAATAGGTCAAGGATAGCCTGAGCTACAAAGTAATAGCCTGTCTAACAAAATCAAAAACAAAACCACACACCATGCATACACAGAATAGTACGGAGGAAAATACAGAGATGTGTGGAAACCTGAGGGCTGGTCACTAGGAGCTTCAGATAAATGAGGGGGAACCGTGCTGCCAAATAACCCACAGGCTAGGAAGTGGCCGGCAGGCTGAGGAGTGGGAAGAAGGGGACGGAAGTTAGTCCAGAAGCAGGGTTGCTGCCAAACATCCTACACTGCACGGAACAGCCTCCTGCAACACGAGATTTCCTGCTCCAAGGTTACTGGCTTTACCCTGGGGAAAACCTAAAGTCCTGCTTTAAAGTGGCCATGCTAGGCATTCAGGGTGGCCAGGGGTGGCAACGCTTACCTTACAGGGCCAAGGAGGACACTTGGTGCACTGACTGTGCAGCATCCTCACAGCGGTAACAAGAGGCCTCTTGTACCTTGGATATTCAACTCGGGCCTTTTGATTTGAATGGTAGATGACGGATAAAGTTGACTGAAACTTCTCTGGTAAAACCTTCGCCAAAGTGAGTCAACTACAGCACAGCCAAAGGGCCTGCCAGATGGCTCAGCGGGTCTGACCATCCAAGTTTGATCCCTGGACTCCGTGGCAACCCCTGAAAGCTGCCCTCTGACCCCCACACACCTGTGGCACACCTCCACCCACTCCATCCACACACACACAAGGACAGCTGTGCCTGGGCTCTCCTGACTGACAGCGGCTTACCTGTCCCTCCCCTCGTCCGCAGGGTCCCAGTGTGAGAGGAAGAGTTCACACCCCCAAAGACGGTGAGTCCCTGGCCCCCGGCTGCGTGGAAGTTGTTGTAGTTTGGGATGGAGGTCACGCCGAAGCTGGGGTAGTGCTGAGGGGTGGGGTCTGTGCCATAGCGGTACCCGGAGCTCTGGTTCAGGCTGCCGTCCCTCTCCTCGGTCAGTTTTGCAGCTTCTTTATCCTTACATTGCACACAGCCCATTATCCAAACTCCTGGCGGGAAGAGAAAAGAGGTGCGTGATGTGCGTGCGTCCCAGGTGCTCCACCAGGAAGAGGGGAGGCTAACCAGGCCGACAAAAGCAATGGCTAGTGCTAGGAGGCATCTCAGCCAAAAGAACCAGACACGCCGTCCCTCACATACTCTGCATGACGGCATGATCAGGGAACCATGCTCACAGTTTCCCTCAAATGAGGCAGGTGCGCCCCCCCAAATCCCACATCACCACACACCTGCCCCAAGACAGCCCACCAGCTCTTTGTGCTTTTATTCAGTCATCTGAAAAAGTAATGTGCGAGCAGTCGCGTGCATTTCCCAATACTAGGGCAAACCCTTTCAACACAGCAAAGGAAATCTAAGAGGAGGCCAGGTGAGCTGCAAAAGCCAACACACAGCCTGGGACTACTTACCAGGCGGCCCCCACTGACGGGCACTTTAGTCACAAAGGATGATGGCCAGTGTTGAAACTAAGAAGTAGTTACCAAGTGGAAAACAAAACTGGGCAGAACCAGAGGCCCATGGCAGCCTCCAGAAACACGCGCTCAAAGCTGCCAGTTAGCGACTCAATTTTCTGTTGTGTTTGACATTCTTAAAATCATTGTAGAAGAGCATTACTATGTTCCAGAGGTAGTGGAGGGTGAAAAAATTAAGCAACTGTCACTCCACCCTCAATCCGCTCCCCACCCCCACCCCAGGGCTCCTCATCTGGGTAAACCTGCAAAGAGCAGATTCCTGAGAGGCAACGCCCAAGGCTCCTCGGTTTCTACTTCACTCTTCCTGCTTCAGCTCAGACCTTCCTGCCTGGGGGCGTGGTTTCTCCTGGACACCAACAAGCCCATCATGTCCAGTCAAGACAGCGCTTCTTTTGAGAAACCTTCGCAGACCCTCTTTCCACAAGCTGCACTACACCTTTCCTGTCTCTTAAAGATTTGTCTATTTATGTATGTGAGTGCTCTGCAGCACATATGACTGCATGACAGAAGACCCCATTACAGATGGTTGCGAGTCACCGTGTGGGTGCTGGGGACTGAACTCAGGACCTCTGGGAGAGCAGCCTGTGCTCTTAATCGCTAAGCCACCTCTCCTGCCCCCTGCAGTACCTTTCTTGAGTGCCCACTGACTTCTGTGCCATCCCTCAGCTGGGGACCTGTCCCACTGTCCTGCGGATTAAGATCCGTTCCCTTGCAGGTATATGGCCGATGCGCAGGCACAGTGGTTGCTGAATAAGCAACAATTGAAGGAGTGTGAACTCTGCACCTCCCTGTATTTCTCTACTTTTCTTTATCTCTATACTAAACCCAACCTTTCCGGGTGTCCTGCTTTTTCTTGTCTTTCTCTCTCTCCCTCCCCCCCTCTCTCTGAAGTGGGGTCTCACTATACAGACCAGGCTGGAGCTCACAGAAATTTGCCTGCCTCTGCCTCCTGAGTGTTGGACTAAAGACATGTGCTACCACACCCAGCTCCTGTCCTGAATTTTCTAACGTCCTGGCATGTATGTGAGAAGTGAAGATAACTCAGAAATATAAGGGACAGTCACAGACGTCGCCACATTGGAAAGGCGTGTCTGCCAAAATTCTGAAAAGAAGCTTTTGGGACCAAAGAAATATGTGACATTATGTGTAATAACGTACGCCCTGGAGAGGGCAGGAGGAGGCCTGAGACCAATGTAGGAGACGCCCCAGGCGTGAGGAGATGGCCGGTGGCAGTTTCCAAGCACCAACTTCTCCTAGACCAGGACACGGGAGTATATCAGGCACTCAACAGCTCTCCCAGTCGACACTTGAGCACACACTTAGTGAGCGGACTACAAGCTCTTGAGAATGGGAATGTCTATCAGGCAGCCACCTACTACTTGAGCTGAGATCACCAAATCTGGAACCCATTTCCTCATAAATCATTCGAGATTAATTTACGGCATACTGTGTCCAAGAGTGATTCTAGCAAGTTTCTGGCAGGAAGCATGAACTGTCTCTGAGGCATGGTACTGAGGGTAGATGCTGCTGGTGTTGCCCACCTGACTGGTCCATGTCTTGCTCACTTTATATTAACTCTTCCACGGCAGTTAAGTTGCTCTGAGCGTTGGCAAGGGCGAGGCAGAAGATGCCTGCTCTGGGGCCTTCTTTTCTTGGTAGTCCCACTGCTTGCTGAAGCAGTGGATGTGAGCCTAGACTCACAGGGTCGCAGTCACATCTGCCCCCTTGGGTGTCCACCAAGAGACATGGCAGGCAATGTCTGGAGATGTCTTCCATTGCCAAAACTCAGGGAAAGGGTTACTTGTGCATCTAGTGGGGTTATGTCAGGGTTGCTGCACAGAACAGCCTCCTGCAACAAGAGATTTCCTGCTCCAATGTTACTGGCCTTAACCTGGAGAAAACCTAAAACCAACAAGAAAGTTCATTCCAAAACATCTTTCTAATGCAACAAGGCAACCCCCATTAGAGAGAACCCTTGTGGAAAACAGGACAGACATCATATTCCACCAAACAAAGAAAAGACAACCTTCTAAAGTCCCTAAAAAGAGTCCTGCAGTGTAATATATAGCTAATTTTATTAATTTTATTAAACAGAAGAGGGACGCCAGGGTCCTTGCCATAAGGCAAACATCCGGGCATTTGGGCTCAGTTTTGTGTTGTGGTGTTTATGTCCACCAACATGGAGTATACTTACGCTTCCAATTGCTTTTGATTTGTGGGTTACTACAAAACACTGCCAGTGCCACTCTGAAAACATCGGGGTCCTGGAGTTCTGACAAGCCAGACACCACATCATGTCCTAGGCTATAGTCCACGTGTCCTGTCTAGAAGAGCTGGCAGAGGAGGGTTGTGACCAAGCCGATGCTGTGTGAACGGTCAGGGTGTCCTGACTACAGCTACAATTGGTTTGAAAGTGGAAGGGCCCTGTTTCTACTACACTTGTAACAAAAAGATCTGGTTTACTAAAATTTATGTATTTCTGTGGATCTTTTCAAATGCGCTAGCAGCATTACACAACGGGGAAGAGTAGCCAGATACCAGAGGAACATGGAGCCACACCCTGCTCCCACGAGAACGGTACTTCACACTGTAATGTCGTGGTGTGGCCTCAGCTCCTTCACAGGGTGTGTGATTCAAAGTGAGCTACAGTACTGGGGTCTCAATTACTACAGGTGCACTGTATCTGACCCGAGGTGGGCACACACGCTCTCTTATGTATGCCAGGCTGTGGACACAACACACACACACACACACACACACACACACACACACACACACACACACACAAAGCTTCTATTTCCTTAGCTGTCATCCTAAGAGCAATGCCCGTGGTCAAGTTTCAGAGTATATAAGGAGACTTCAGGTTCATGCTGAACTGGGTACCAAGAGCCTGAATGAGAACCCAGGTGATGCTGGCAAATCCCTTTCTCTGCAACACACTCTAGGGAAAGCCAGTGAGTAGCTGTCATTCCAGTGGAGTAGGTTGTTGCCCTGGAGCCAATTTAGGAGTGTGTGGGGAAGTGACAGCCCTTAGGTTTAGCGCCATCCCCAGCCCCTTCTCGCCCCCAGTCCCAATCCCCCATCCTGAGAGCTGAGAGAGCAGCCCAGGCCTTGTGGGAGGGACAGCTAACGCCTGGTAAGCCAGTACTCTGACATGATGTGCTTCCTGATTCAGCCTCCAGACGTCCCTGTCCCTTCAACTCCGGTACCGCTTCCCGAGGCGAATCCCATCAGGAGGGAGGAAGCGGGTAGGAGGAGGCAGAGCACAGCGATAGGACGTTCGCGGCAGATGGCTTCTGCAGAATCACAAACAGGATTGACCTAGGGTATTCCACTACACTCTCCATAAGACAGTGACTGCCCTGAGAAGGCGGGTCAGCTGACTGAGTTCTCCCCACAGAATTGCTAGTGCAGGATTCAGACAGCTGAACACCGTGTGGGGAGCAGAGGGTGCCGGGTTACAGAACCTGCCATCCAAGTTTCCTGGTTCACCAGCACCTTTCAGTTCTGTCCTTCATAGGACACAGGGCCAGACAGATGACTGACATGGGCCAGGGCGGGCAGGAAGTCCCGTCTTTTGGCTATGGGCAGAGAAGTCCTAGGAATCCGGAGGTTGGAGAAAAAGCAGGACCATCTTGGTGCCTCTTTGTTACATAAGCACTCCTGGAGGTCCCAAGACAAAGAAAAGATCCAGCTGGGTTTGTATTATGCAACTTTAAGCTCTTGGGGACTGAAGCTTATAGACTTCTGCTGGGTCCACACAGCCTCAGCACAGCAGAGGGCTCCGCCCACTTGGAGAAGTCTCCTGGCTGGCAGCTGGAGGGAAGAAATGAGTGTGTGCCTTGCTAAGGCTGTGCTGTGGTAGGCAGAATTCTGAGCTACCTCCCAAGGTCCCTGCCCCCCAAAGAACTCTCCCTGAACCACCCCTGGGATGTGTGAATGAGGCAGTCTCCACTGTGACAAGCTGTGTGACCTGGCAGAGCCAACTTTAAAAAAGACATTAGCCCGGATGAGCTGCCCTCATCGAGTAAGCCCTGGAAGACGATAGCTCCTCATGACATGCAGGGCGAGGTGTGAGAAGCATTAGGCACGAGGGACTTCTCAACTGCAGCTCTTACACGGGGCCAGACTTGTGGGGATCTCCAGGGCTGAGGGGTGCTCAGAGCCATCGCGAGCAGGGGACTGGATGTCAGTCCCACAATCCCAGCAACTGAGCCTGATCAAGAGCCTGCGAGAGTTAGGAAATGGATTCCACCCTAGCAAGGTCTCCGGATGACAGCTCTGCTGACAACCCGATTTTAGCATTGCTGAACAGAGACCCCAGGTGTGCTGTGTGTCGGCTTATGGTGAGCTGATTGATAAACGGATGCTGTCTGAAGCTCACAGGAGATGGCATATTTATGGGATGGGGTACTGAAGAGAAGAAGGCTCCACGTCTTGGCAGCCAGAGCCGACAGAAGTTAGCGTTCACTATATGCTGGGCACTGCCCTGTGCAATGGAAAATGCTCCCACCAAGTTGTCC